TTAGCCCGTGGCTGGTAAATTTAGCCAGGTTGTTGTCAGGTCAGGACAGAATTTGTCAGGACAGAATTTGTCAGGACAGAATTTGTCAGGACAGAATTTGTCGGCTGGCTGTAGGGTTGCACAGAATTTTGTTGCGCCACCGTTGTCTTGCAACCGAATTTTGTCAGTCCACAGTTGTGTGTTGACCGAATTTTGTCAGGCCGCTGTCAGGTTGGAACAGAACGTTCAGTCCACAATTGTCTTGACAGAATTTTGTCAGGCTGCTGTAAGATTGGAACAGAATTTTGTCGGGACACAGTTTTGTTGGGCCACTGTCGAGTCGGGACAGAATTGTCGGGCAATGATTTGGTGCTTTGGCACAGAATTTTTCAAACTCGTGTCGTGAAGTTCTCTGGATATATTCAGGTTCTGTGTGCGAGTTGGGAGGGAGAAGGTGAGCTTTGTCTTCGTGTGACTGCTCTTGGCAGGGTTTCAGTGTTGCTGCTCTTCAGACCCTGAGTGTTGCCCTTATATGTCTGAGAGAAGGCTGCACACTCCGCCATGCTGACTACTCTCTCTGTCATCAATGAGCAATTGTTTCTTTCTTTCTGTGTTGCTCTTTTTCTTACCTCCCCCTCCTCTTTTGCTTCTTTTGCTTTTCTTCTAGTTCTTTCTCATGTTTTCCACTTAATTTCCACTCATCAATTTTTTGCCAGCTATCTCTCCTCACCCTTTTTCCCTTCCACCCCTCTCTAGAGCCTTATCATGTTTAAAGGTCTCGAGTACCTGCAGTGAATTTTACTATGATTCATTCTCAGCGTGGCTTTAACATCAGGTGATCTGTACGTGACTTTAGCTTCGTCCAGACAAATGAGGTGATGCTGTCGTTTCATGGTTTAGTAGATGTGGGTCACCCACAAGAATTTATAAGAATTTTTGCAGATTCCATTTTGTGGCCACCACATCTGTCATGGTGTTTAATACGCAATGATATGAAATGGGAGAAAAGGATAGAAGCCTGAAACTCTGGGGGGAGAAACCACAGTCATAAAGGTAGCGTGAAAGTGCTTTATGATGGAAAATCTGAGAAATGTGTCTTTTTCAAAAAAATTCAAGACTCTTAATTGACAACCAGCAATGCTGACAGTAGTTAGATTCAGTACAACCCTATAGATAGTTATGTCAACAGTAAAACATAAGGTAAATAGTAAACTGCAATTAGGTGCAAAGCTGGAAGACATTAGAAACACCATTTAAGATTATAAACGAAACAGAAAAGATGTGATGATCTCCATTGCAGCCTGACTAATGGCCTTTTCTACAGAGGAGATTGGCACCTCACATGCATGACCTGGATTTGCTTGTCACCTGTTTGCTGACACACTTGTTTATTAATCACTGTCAGCATGCCGATTTTTTTTTTGTACAGAAAATGGAGAATTCAGTTTTACAGCAATAAGCACTGTTCTGTCTAAATAAATACAGACTACATCAACCAAATGATGGAAAAAAGGAGTGTAAAAATGAAAGGAAAGAGAGAGGGATGGAAAACGTATTTGGAAAGATGAAGGGACTGAATAAGTGAGCAAACAGGCTGATGGCAAATAGCAGTATGTTCTCTCAATAAATCCTAATTTCTGGTTTTCTCAGTCTTCAGGCCCACTGTGTTTGGCACAGTGAATGTATTGCTTATGCCATACTGTCTGCCTGTTTTCTTCTCTAGCTGCCCTCTTCTGGCCAAGTGTGGCCTCCAAAACAATACCCCTCTCATGGAGGAACCCACTCATTTTCCTTCTTACAGGATGTGTGGACTGGCCTTCCTGCTATGAGGCATTTCATAGCAACTCCAGTTGAGCTAGTACAGCAGCAGTGCAGTTACTGTTTAACTGAGACTCGCTGTTGTTGAGTAATGCCAGCTTGAAAAAGGTGAAATGTGTGATCAGATGTTGAAAAACATATAAAGATACTCAAACACAAAGTGCTGTCTAATGGTCTTCATATAATTAGTTATGACATGCCTTGCTTTACGTTTCGCAAAGCTACAAGCAATTTTGTACTGTTTTTAGGCTAAATTCACACCAGAATCATCATCATCATCATCATCATCATCATCATCTTTAACCACTTAGTCTAGATGGGGTTGCGATAGCAGTTGGGAAAGCAGAGAATCCCAGACGACCCTGTCCCCCGCAACTTCCTCCAGCTCATTCCAGGGGACCCCGAGCCTCTCTCGATCTAATCTCTTCAGCAGGTTCTAGGATGACCCTCTAGGTCTCATCCCAGTAGGCTGTGCCTGGTAAACCCCCACCAGGAGGCCTCTAGGGGGCATCCTGATCAGATCACCTCAACTGGCTCCTCTCAATGCGGAGGAGTAGCAGATCTACTCTGAGCTCCTCCCAGATGACCAAGCTCCTCACCCTGTCAAGTAGAGTGTAGCCCACCACCCTGCAAAGAAAACTAATTTCTGCCGCTTGTGATCTCCTTCTTTCGGTCATTACCCAAAGCTCATGACCATAGGTGAGGGTCAGGATGTAGACTGACCGGTAAACAGAGAGCTTTGCCTTATGGCTCAGCTCCTCCTTCACCACTACATTCTGGTACAGTGAACGCATCACTGCTGCCACCTGTCCCAGCCTGCAGCTGATCTCACAATCCCTCTTCCCATCATTTATGAACAAGACCCCAAGATACTTAAACCCCTCCACCCGGGGCACGTCCTTTCCCCTTACCTGGAGTGGGCATGCCATCCTTTTCCGGGATACAATTCTGTTATTGGAAAAAAACCAGCAGAATTGTATCCGATTCATTCTTTTCTTTCTTTGAGCTGATATCTGAGTCAGGATTTTTTGCTGATATAGGCACGATACCGATACCCAGTATCACATCAGTGCCATCTCTAGCTGCTACATTTCCTTTTAGCCGTGCCACATACTTTTGTGCATTTAGGCATGCAGTGGCGTTGTAGCTCTAGTGCAAAATTAAAGAAGCAAACTGCATATGCCAGGGTAAGAGGAGGATTTATGCAGTTTTATCCATTTAACCACAGCAGATACATTACCCATAAGAGCCATTCACCGGGAAATGGAAGCCATGCTGAAAGAATGGCTCTTTCTCTCCGTGCCCACTAAGATGAAGCAAACCCTGTGGGATCTGTGGACTCCAGCAAGACGTTAGTGAGCCTGGTGTAACCTCGGTTGGTCTACACATCTGCCCTAGTGGTTTGGACTGATTCACTATATTGCAGACCCAATCAGACACAATGCTTATGCTTCAGTCTGCTGCTCAGGACTTGGATAGACTCAGAAGAACTTGGGCGTGTTCAGTTTATGCACACAATCAACACATTTGAGATCTGGTCACTGCACACAATGGAAATTGTTGTGGTTTGTTGCAGTGTTTGTTCAGCAGACTAGTAATGTGCAGTCCTATGGTAAAGGGCTTTTTTTCCCCGAATGCCTCATGCAACCAGTTTGGCATTGCCAGTAATGACAGTAAACAATATTGAAAGTATGACTCTAAGCGACATTGACTGGTCTCTGAAAGTGCTCGGAAATGTAAAACCGCAAAGCAACGCCGCAAGTCTTAAAGTAAAACAGCAGAGCCTGTTTTTAGTGCTTTTATTTTCATAGTGGTCAAGGTTGTGGTTTATTTGTTGACCTTTTGTTAAATGATCCGTGGGTTGTGTCCTGAGTCACTGTTATTACACTCAGAGAGGAACTGTTGGTGATTAACTGTTCTAGAAGTACTCATGCAAGGGTTCGGTTTAGGCATCATGGTTACTAGGCATTCACAGTCTGAGTGGGCCCAGATTGGAATCAGTAGATTCCAGTACAAAATCGGCAATTAGCCAGTTTGTTTTTTTTGGCAGATCTGTGTTGCACTTATATAAAGTCCACATATAAAGCAGGTATGTGCGCTTGACGTTTATTTGCATGCTGCTGCTACACCTGTTCCAAAACGATGGAGCATAATTCTAAATGACTGCTGTGTCTTACTTTCAGTGTGGCACTTTATGTGATGCATGTTATTTAAATAGCCAACTGAATTAGAATTCGTATAATAATGTTTATATGGCAGTTTACATGGCATTGTGTTTTTGCTTAACTACTAGAAATGTGCCAGTGTGTTTCATGTGTTAATTTACCCCACACAATGTGAGATTTGGATTAAAAAAGATTATACAAATTAGACAAAAATTTCCATCAGCCGATTTGACTGTAAAGAAATCAGAGTCGGCCATAGAAATTCATTCATAGCTAATGGCTACAAATTTTGTTTAATGGGATACTATTGCATGGGCAGTGACTAATTCGGGCCAGTGTCGATGCACTTTTGTTGTGATTTTTACTGATTTGAAAGTCAGTCGGGTTGGGTTTCAAAAGCCACCTGCTAACTCCTGAAAGATGCAGCCATCTGTACTTTGTTTTTGTATTGATGGCTCCTTTTTCGGAGGGCAAATCTCTCTCTAGCCACTCATCAGAGGAGCGGGATTTCCAGGTTCTTTGAGATGTCTTCGGTGAAATGCATCATGGAGGATTAGTCCATGTCCCAGCTTGGCTCGCCCCCATGTCCTCAGTGTGTGGGACGAACGAGCACACGCTGATTTATGGGTTTGTGGAGAGTGTGCTTCCTGGCTCAGCTGTGGTCTCTCTCTTTGTCTCTCTCTCTCTCTCTCTGTCCCTGTCCTGGGGGCCTACTTCGTCCTGACAGATCAGCAGCAGCTGACAGAGGGCTGTTTGGGTCTAGTTGGGTGGTGAAGTTGGTTCGGGTGGGTGTGTTTAAAGGGGGGGAGTGGCCATTTGAGTTTGAATCCGAGGCCACCCTACCCTCACCTCGGCTTGGCCTGAGTGCCAGGCGCTCTTATCCAATCATGCCTGGAATGCTGCTTGTCACTCTGGCTATTTCTGCTGTCTGTCACTATCGAGTGGCAGCACTAACAGTTTGGTAAATGGGAGAGGGGGTTTTTATTCTCCCCCCCACCCTTCTCTGTCTCTCTCGCTTGCTCGCTCCTTCTGTCTCTCGTTGGGAGTTTGTGGGCTGAAGTTTTCAGCCTGCTGGCAGTACCTCTCTTGTTACTGTGTGTAGCGAGACGCTGCTCTCTCTCTTTCTCTCTCTCTCTCTCTCTCTCTCTCTCTCTCTCTCTCTCTCTCTCTCTCTCTCTCTCTCTCTCTCTCTCTCGCATAAGTGAGGGAAAAGCAGTGGAGAGGGGGAAATCGTGTGGGTGAGCGAGAGCAGAAGCGATCAGACACACTTTTAAAAGGGTTAGGCGAGACAGAGCCGGCAGGAGCAGACTGAGACGGAGCGGGGGAAAGACGTGAGAATACAGTTCAGTTCGGTTCAGGTTTATTTACACAGCATTTTTACTACAGACGTTGTTCCAAAGTGGCTTTCCAGAAATCCAGGTCCGGATTCATAACAATCAAGTGACTGTGACAGAAACAACTAGAGCATGAGGAGCAAACACTAAGAACCAAGACTCGACAGCGCAACCCATCCTCCTCAGGGCTACGCCGGATAGCAGAATTCCACCCGGTAGAATGTCTCACCGGCTGCGCCTGTACTTCAGTTCCGGCCGCAGCAACACGGCTCCCGAGCTGCAGGAGCTGGACGAGGATGAAAACGGGATTGCTGATGCTAATGAAAGACATTGTAGCAGTTCTGGCGCAGGCACCATGCTGTTCCGCATGGGGCCAAGGAGTCTAGCACTAGAAGAAGAGGGTGCTCCCGGCCCAGCTGGGGTTTCTGACGCTTTGCTGAAACGCAGCTCATCTATGTTCATCCCACAGCTCCAGAGCCAAGCGGAACCGCGTCCCACCAAGAGCTCATCCATGCAGATATCCCTCCAGCGCTCGGCTACATCCCAGGAAGATGGACAGCCCACGGATTCACCTCCAGGTTATCCCCAGGATCCAGCTCCGGCCTACACAGAGCCTGGGGAAGGATGGGCCAACCCTCCACCTCCTGCTTACTACAGAAGAGAGAGTCCACCTAACCTGATAGTGGACCAGACAAGCCACGGCACCGAGCCTGGCCATCCCAAGAGAAGAGTCTTCTGTGTTAGGCCTTATGATGTTCAGAAAACACACTCCACTGTTGGAATTCCCAATGGAGGGCCTCCAGGAAGCTGCATTGGTGGATTTTGTATCCAGCAAAATGCATTTACAAATGGCTCAGATGTCCAGCAGTTCACGATAGTGCCCTATGCTCCAGAGGGCCAAAACGGTGCCTGCCGCTGGTCCGTCCAGCCAACCACCGACGGCACTTCTGGTACCCGAAGATTCGTCTTCCAGCTTCAACAAGACAGAGGAATGTCTATGAATGCCAACAGCCAGAGAGAGGTGACCAGTCCCAGCCTCACTGGCTCTAAAAACTGCCGTGAAGGACGTTACCCCCGAATTCGACTGGAGAGGAGCACATCTCAGCCCATACAACCTAGAACAGTCCCTTCACGTCCTGGATCCATGCCTGACCTTCACGCTCCCATATCAGAAATGGAGACAGCGAGCGAAGTGGTTGAGGATGGTTCCCAAAGCTGCACATTTAAGATCAGAAAAGAACAGAACCCAAGGCAGCCTAAGTTTAAGATCTATTTCAGTCAAGGAGGCAACCACAGGTCTAACTCGGTGCAGGATATTAGCCCTGGAAAGGGGCATAACTGGAACAGCCCACAGGTAATGAGGATGCAGGATCTAAAATTCAGCATGCTGTGCAGCCATCAGTCATTCCTTTATTTATTGACCTAGATAATGATACCATTAGTAGCTGTTGGAATGGCATCTTTGGGTTGAAGACCTGCTATATGAGCTGGCAAATTTTTATATATTCCCTTTTTTGTGAGTCTGGCGGGACCTAGAATAGGACACTAGCTGTGTGTAATGTCGGACCACTGATTGGCATGGTTTTATAGTCAGTAATTCACCATGTTAATAGTTATTAAGTGAATGGCAGATGGGAAAAGCAGACCAGATGAGGTAGCGAGTTTGAGACGGAGAATGGGAGGGGGGCTGTATAGGAAGGATTTAGCCACATTCTGGGAAGTGAGAATCCTAAGAAAATGGAAGCCAGGAGCAAAGCTTAACCGCATGGTCTTTGGTTTCCCGACCACAGGCATGCAGATGTTACCATAGTTTGGTGACTTTTTCTGAAAAAGTGGAGGGGGAGTGCAAGGCTGCACTTAGAGTGCCTAGATTTATCTGCGTGTCCCAGGGCAAGCTCTCCTGCTTGACTTTTTGTGTCTTTAAGAGGCGGCGGTGCTATCTTTAGACCTGCGTCAAGTGCTGCTGTTGGTTTTCAGATCTTCTCTTTTGACTAGGGTCACCAAACGCCTCAGCTGCTCTGTGGTCATTAAGGTCTAGGATACAGTTACAGCCGAAATGACCGTAAAGATGTTTAACAAGCTATGTGTCAGTCCCTTAGGAGGAAGAAAACGGTTAATGATATTGTGTTTGTACTACTTCAGTACACTTTGTTTACGCTAGCATAGAAAATACCTCCCAGTTGCTCTGATTATGTCTTAAAGTTGAAGCTTCAAGTAAGAAACAAGCAGTATTTTTGTTTTTTTATTAATGAAAATGATCCGTTATTCACTTCCTCACAGTCAAAACAACCCTGGTGTACAACCGGGATTTGGTACCACACACACACACACACACACACACACACACACACACACACACACATATGTAATAACATTCTTTCCAGCATTGAGCGGAAAGGAGAGTATTTTGTTTTTACAGCATGTCATATTCATAAGAGATAGGGGCCGACCTCCTAAATCTGGTGATGTCACTCACATGGCACCCTAAGGAAGTGTTGATGAGTGTTTCCATTACCTGCTGGAAGGGCTTTACTGGAAGTGAGGTGTCTGGGAAGCTCAGTGTTGAATTCATCAGCTGAAGCAAATGCCTGATCTGGTTTCCTGTGCTGGATTGCTCATTGACTACAGCTGTGTCATCACTCATAATATCTTGAAGGATTAATGAGGCCAGAATTAAGTGTTTGTGTCAGCAAGGTTTTTGGTGAGTGAGAGGTAGTGGCTCGTGAAAAAGTACATTTTTCAGATATTCTTCTGTTCCTATTGTATATGATCTCCTTCTTGTGATACTACATAGGATGTAGATGTTAAACCCTGAAAATTCTCCATGCATCCAGACAGATGGGACAAGTTGAGCAGTTGGGAAAAGACCCCCACGCTTTGCCGATGTAAACTCGGCTTTTCTGGAGAAATCTCAGTCTGACAACTGCTGTGTTCCTCTTTTCTTGCAGAAGTACCAAAAGTGCATTTTCATATAGTTGTTTGACGGCTGTGATTTTCTCAGCAAAGCAGAGAAGGAGAGAAAGAGAGAAAATGTCTCTGTGAAGTAAATCATGAAATTTCTGGCATTCGGTAGCAGTCTGGACAAAGACTGTAACTCCGTCACCTGCTGCTGGTGACTGTGGAGTCATTCGTAATAAGTCTGCTTACTGTTGATCTGTTTCAATGCTTATGGGACTAATACAATGAAGTGTTGGTAAATATCCCCTGAAATGAGATTTTATCCCTGAAATGTTTCCACATGAGGCCTGTGTCCCCTCACTTCCACTGTTATAGAATGAGTATCATATGAAGGGATTCGAGTCATCCTTCCTGGCTCCATCCACCAACATATGTGTTCAAATCTGTTATTCCGTAGAGACTTCCCAAGGACTTGGCTGCCATTCTGCCAAGACTTTCAGGTTTACCCACATGACTGCTTGCTATCACGCTGATACGTATTCCACATATCGGAAGATATGTGGAATATGTGTCCTTAACGACAGGCCTCTTCCAGATGTCATACGGGAATTCTGAAGTTTTGAAAAAGCCTGTGCGTTTGTATGATAAGTGGAAGGAAGGTAGATAAAGGAAAGGGTAGAAAGCCAAGAGAAGTAATGAAAAGGTCAAGCTGTTCCTTCTTTCTCCTGCTGTGAACTGCTGTGGTTGCCATTCAGAAAAGAACTGCTGTGTTGTGTTGGCTATATGTGTCATTCTTTTTGTTATATTAGTGTGGTCTGTTGCTAATTTTAGGCTGCATTCATCTCTGGAGATTTGTAGAGGGAGTTTTATTTAAGGACTTGCACCCTGTTGGTACATGCTAACTTTACCCTACATGCTATACTGGGTCCAGTGCTCTGCTGCAGCTCAACTCTCATCTGATCACACACTGCAAAAGGCTTCATGGGACTCCACCCAGAGAACACAACACACCCAGGATAGCAAACAAATGGAGTGGTTTTACTGTTTCTTAACAAGGCTGGAAACAAAAAAAAATAAACAAGGGGGATGAAACAGCACTAGCTTTTTCAGTTCTGGCCTGGTCTCAGCCTCTCATTTTCTTTTTTATATCTCCGGTGCTCGGCTTTTACCACAGAGAAATTTCACTTGAACGGCTTGGGCAAGTTCCACATTTTCTAAGATTTAGAGTTTGGGGCGCATCACCAGCTGGCATGATGGGAGCACAGTAGACCACTCTGGCATAGGTCCATTCTGGAGGATATATATGCACTAGGGATTGCACATCTAGCCGTTCAAGAAAGTAGTTGACTAGTCATCGTGTTCCGGTTGTCTCTGAAAAGTATTTTGTTAGTAGCTTGCTAATAGGGGCTGGGGCAGCAGATGCTGCAATTTGAGGCATGAGATGCACACTAGGGAAAAGTTTCAGCTTTGAGCACTCTGCCCACAGAAGCACACAGACTGCCTGAAGTAAACTGCACGCTAAAATCACCATAGCTCTCAGAAACTCACCTCTTTTAGAGAATTTAAACTGGCTCTGGCCTTTGCACTGTCTGAGGGTAGACAAATAAATGATATCAAGCCAAGTGCCAGTAGCCAGCAGTTGCATCTGCTTACCAGTAAGCCTCTCAGAGTGTGAGAGGGGCCTAGTCCAGGGGTCAGCAACCATTTGGGTTAAGAAGAGCCACTTTGTTCTTTTCAACAAAAATTTTACCATTTTACCATTTTGGCTGTAAATATGTCATTATGTGCTAATGTGTTAGTATAGGCTAAAAATTATAAATGAAAACGCAGACTTACTTTGCTCTGCTTTTAAGTGTTAACTCAGCCATAGCTGCTTTTCTCGCGTCTCTGGCAGGAAACTTTTCTGCAAAAGTAGAATAGTTTCTTGTAAAATATCTCAACGTTTGACTTTGTATGAGGCTCAAGTCAGCTTCTCATTCGCCACCTTCTTGTTTTAATTTTCCTGTTCTGCCTTAAATGGTGCCTGAGGCACCCGAATGTTACTGCGGCAACATTGAATGTAGAACGGGAAATTTCGAACGAGAAGCTGACTTCAGCTTCACGACTTTTTCGTGTTTGACAGTTTCTCATTGCAGATTAAACATATCAGAAAACCAGCGGAGTGCTTATCAATGCAAAAAAGTCCATTCGTCTTCAAATTATGGATGTTTCTCTTTGCATTTTCGTTAGCTACTAGCTGGGTGAGACGGTTGTCTGAGTGGCTGTGACCAGCAGTCTGTGCGCTGATCATTTCATGAAGTATTTCACTTTTGTGTTTATTTGTGTTTAGCCAAAAAATGGTTTCTGTTCTCTCCTTTAGCTTGTTCACTGCAGTTTCTACCTCCCCTGTACTTCAAGCGCTGTCTTCGACTAGTCGACTGTTGACCACAATACTGAATAGTCAGTTTATTAATCCCCAATATGCATTGCTCACGTGATATGTTTACCAGTTGCTGATGACCTCCTGAATGCAACTAGTGGTTAGATTGTGTTGAAATTTCAGTTTGAACTTCAGTTGAGTTCATGCAGACCATTTGAATGCATCATTAGAACAAAGGACATCAGATTAGAAAGAGAGAGGACATAAACAAGGTCATGGAGACACGAGTCAGGAGTGCCACTCTCACAGTGTGGTCAAATGTGGTCACTCCCACAGACCACTCCCTGTCCATGCCACCCCATGCTAAACCATGGCCTTACCTAAGTTAGAAGATTTTAGCAAGTTTTATTTTTTTTGTATTTGTTTTTTGTTATGTGGGAGCTATTAATCTTAGGTTTGTGACAAAAATGGAAATATATCCGTTGATGCTGCGCTGCCTGGTGTTTATGGTTTTGTAGACTCCCTCCCTCATGTCAGATTGAGGGTCGGAGAGGTTGCTGGTAGAAACTTCCCTTTACCGTTCAAGGTGGCAGCAGGGATCCCCCCAGGGCAAGTGTAGAGGGGAGATCTGGGAGTGCTTTTCTTTCCAGGAATTGAAGCACGGAGCCGACATGGCCTGTCTGCGTTCTGTTTTTCTTTCTACTTTCTTTTTTATCTCCTCGGTTCGAGGCATCCGAGAGATCGGATGTTTGTGACGGTGATGCAGGAGATATTTTATTTGAAAGGATGCGCAATCTCTGAACCTTGCAGGGCATCACTGTCTTTAGTGCATCTGAATGGCTGTTAACATGGAGACTTCTTATTTCTTGATTCTTCTTCAGCAGTGTTGATGGGAAACCTTGCAAAGTCTCTAAAGAAAGAATAGGATGGCGTCCCACCGTCCACCACATGCAGAAATTTTTGGATTACTAGAGCATTCTTTCATGTACGTGGTGGCCAGTAGGTCCAATACGGAGTTGGAAATTATGTCTTTGATTGATTAACTTGATTACTTGATGACTTGATGTTTTTAGTGGTTTGGCTTCTAAACCAAAATTGTGTAAAATCAATTATGATTCCTCTTTCTAAACCTCTTAGAGTCCATCTCTATTTTATTGTTTTTCCATGTGTGGATGGAAATTACTGGCTAAATTAATGGTCTGTGTTTTGATTGGCTGTTTCCTGAAACGTATTTCCCAAAGTTGAGATGGTTACTGCTGCAGGGCAAGTAAAATGTAGTTTATTTACATTTCACCATATCAAGCCCGCCCTATCTTCAGACATCTACAGATTAACTGAATAGTTCTAGATTCAAAGTGCCTTTTGACTCTGGTATGCGATTTTGTAAATAAACCTTGTTTAAGCGGTCAAGTCCTGTGGTTTGAAGCTGGTGGATTGTTGACCGGGACCTTATAGCTGAAACAGGAGGAGAATGTGTGGGTGATCTCACTACAGCCACTCAGCTACACTCTGGGTGACTCATTCATACCCTTTCAACAGAGACTGAAGACTGTTATCTGAGGCTGGACAGTGGCTCTGTGTTCTGCTATTTTGCTCACTAACGCACCAGACTTTGCTCTAAATGTCAGATGGATTGAAAAAAAAAAATTAAGTGGGCTAAATGTCGCAAGTTTCCTAATAAACCAGATTAGATAAGAGATTAATAAGACACAAAATAATATAGACTTGGCTCTTGGGTTGCGGTTAACAGAGTAAAATTATCGGACCTGGTTGTTGGTTCTGCTTTTCTTATCTGCTCTTTCTAGAGGAGCTCAGAAAGAATTCTGAAACCCACTGTTAAAAACAATATTTGTTTCGTAATTAACAGTAGTTTTAGAGTTAAGGGTGTTTGTTGCTTAGGCTGGGTCCACACTACACGATTTTTTGCCCGGTTTTAACCCCGGTTTG